TGATGTACCTCGGTGTAAGTTAGCCAGCTGTAATCGCCCAGAACCCACTGAAACTATTTCAGTTTAAACATGTATATTTGAATTTCGCGAGGAACTGCAAAGATTCGTTTTGAGGGATATCATCACGAACGTATTACCCCAACGCTAATTGTATAAAAGAAGGCAGCATTTATGAAAAAATCAAATTCTGGAAATTCTGTCAGAGTGGATAACAAAGTTCTGCTTTGACAGAATGTCCAAAACACATTAATGGCCAATTTATAACTCATTCTGACAAAATCCCAAAGGGCACATTAGTCCGGAATGCCCAGTGTGCCGCGCATTATTCAATTCTTCATCCATAATCCACTGCAGTGATTTGGGAAATGACATGAACGGCAGCAAACTGTCAAAACAACCCAGAGATATCAATAATTTTACGTCGTACATTGCCCCTTACACCTACCGGCCGGGCAGTTCAGCACGAATCAGAAGTTTAAATCAAAAATTTCAACCTTCTCAAAGATTCGTCCATTTGGTTGCTTTTCCTCATGAACCTCCAATAATTCACGTGTACCCAGGGCAGGTCTATCAGCAAACAACTTCACAGCATGTGTAAAAAGCTTATCAATGGTATCTTCGCCAGGAAAATCCTCATACAACTGTCCGTCCACGTTACGCCACGGGCTATCCAAATCTTTAACGGGTTTTGCCTGAAATTCAGCAAAATAACTGTAAATGAATTCTTTTTCTGTTCTAAATTCTCCTCTCTCACTTCTAATAAGCCAGTATTATCTTCCTCACAGAAAAGTTATCAAACAAACGCAAGGCACCCCTTAGTTCTGCCCTCATTATTTTCACACACTGTATCTTTGCGTAATTTTCATTTTTTCTTTCGGTGCGATTTAGCACCAAAAGTCAAAATCCCCTCCGAATTCGCTCTCAGCGAGAGATGGATGCATTGGCGAAGTAGCCCGAGTGGTAGCAAATGCCCGAGCAGCAAGGCTGTTGAACGGATTCCTCTTTCGATAAATACCTGTAATCGAGTTGAAGGCGAGTATGATTTCCTGACATATGTCAGTACCAATTTACCAACGAAACGAATGAACGAATCGTAGAGGGATTGGTTGTTCACCGACGAAGTCGAACCCCCACCCTAATTCATATTTTAGCAAATTTTCGTTTCTAGCTTAATTCTGAATTCAGTAATCGAACTGAGGGCCTCTTTCTGATTTGACTCTGCACATCTTTCCTCCAAAATACACTGTTATGGTGTTTTTCCTCAAAAATAAACGATTTTGATACTATCAGAAAAAGCGATGCTCCCCTTTACTGAGCATTTCCACCCTTCAACACAAGCCAATTTTGACTCAAAAATAGTTCTCATTTTGTCTCGACAGCGCCGGATGCCTCTGCTCATCGGAAGCCTATTTTTGTTTAATAAAACACACTAAGTTGTTTTTTAGGTTTCAGAATAACTATAAATGTTACTTAATAAATAAATATTGGCTAACTGAGATGTACTGCAAAAATAAGAGAATATGACCTGCAGTAATTAGATGAGATCAAGACATGTTGATCCATCAAGTTGCAACTCATCACTGATGCGTTACTAATGCTTCGAAACAAACCTTAGTGCGTTCACTTTTTTGCAATTTCGCACTCGGTGAGTTGAATAACTCATAGGGAATGTAGTTCAAGCAATCGTACACAAAAAACCATGCACGCAGGACAGCGATGATAAAACGTATCCATAACGGTGACGTCCCCTGAAACATATGAAATGGCATTTTAAGAACAAAAACACATTCATGGAAAAGCCCTGGTTTTCCTCATTTCTCACCCTGCTTACTCGCGGATCGAAGCAATGCACTTGAAGAGTACCGGTCAGAATCACAATCATTGCTACAACTGCTTTTTGCGTCACGTTACTCTTAATTTTAAATATCGAATGGAGAATTTGCATATGCAAATTAAAGACTGAAATGGCGCCCGTCTTACTTCTTGCCTTAGCGGCCAATCACTCAGTCAGCCTGCAAAATTCTACGAAAACCTAGAAAAGTTGGAAAGCTGAAATTTTAAGAGGATTTTCCCTGTCCAAAGATTTCAAAATCAGCCCCAAGGAATGTGTGGTTCTCAAGAATGACGTCTAGAAATTTTGGCGGGAAAACTGCTCAATGAACAGCCATGCCATCCTCAATGAACGACCGTTCAACGGAAACTTATAGTTCTTTATATTAAATTTATGATGATTTAGGATGGTCAGTACCCAAGTTAAATCTAAAACAGCTATTCATACAATTAACAACCCAACTGCTTTAAGTTTAGTGCAAAAACGCATGATCACATCGACAAACTTAGTGCCTTCAGCCTGAGTTGCATTTGCATATATGCAAAAACACATTAAGACTGATTATTTATCCCAGCCTTCCTCCCGCCTCCCTTGCTCGAGAAAATCCCGCAATTCTTCTGGAAGGTATAAGTTATTCGAAAATGTCCTTTTTCAAATATACGGGGCGAAGGGTCAAATTCTCAGAAAAGTGGCTTCAGGTTACTTTTTAAATTGTGTGGCTTATTTTTCTTTCCTCTCTACCACAGTAGACAATGCGGTTATGAATTTTTTACAAAATTTCTGCTTGCCACTTACACTTAATTAAACATCGCCAGCCCGTTATTTCTCGCGAAATCATTTGTTATTACCAATACATTAAAATTAACACTTTTTTTAATATAATTTTTTAATGCTTAGTGTAGAGGGACTGCAGTAATGATGGAAGGTAAAACTTACTGTATCTGAGTCGTCAGACATTATCAGAGAGATGCTTAACACAGCAACACAGACGGCTAATCTGTTGCCTGTTCAAGAGCAGATGAATAAGCTTGATTGATGATGAGGCTTAGGCCACCAATAACTAATGTCAATTCTGGTTCCTTCTAGCAGCACCAAAGTGCACCTTTTACAAACTTTTTTGCTCAAGATGAAGTAAGCTTCAGGCGCTAAAAGATTTGTGGTATCTGTGCCACGAGATTTTGTCTGAATATCATCGGTGTGCACGCAAACTGAGGTGCCACCGAAGACAGATATGTGAGTAGGCCCAAATAAAATTGAAGAAAACAGCAAATGAATCTAAGCAAAAACCTAAATTAATTTTAACACATAGCTCTTTACTCGTCGATTTCATG